GACAGCTGAACAGCCTTTCTTGGTCTTGTGACACACACTGTGTGGCTCTCAGAGGACGGGTTGGTCAGGTCTAACCTGGAGAGGCTTTCCTAGGTGCCCGGAAGGGCCCTAAGAGTTACCTCCTCAGGTTCCTAGGACTGGCCTGATGCCTGTTGTCTTCCTCATGGCCTCTCCCAGCACCACAGGTGGATTCTCAACACCCTTGAGATGAGGGATGTTGTCTCAGCATTCACTTTTCCAAGATCACCATGCAACCATCAGTGAGTTTGGTCTCAATGCTGGGAAGCTGCAGATAGGTGGTCTGTGGTTTATGTACCCTAGTGTGGTGGTGGCATACCTGTGGCACACATGCTGCAACTGGCTGTTTGTTATCATTGAAAGCTCTAAAAGGTTTGCCAGCACTGACCTAGTGGTGGTTCCTGGGGACGAGGTAAGCAGAACTTACTGTACTGTGTTCCATGCAGCAGTCTGGTCTGTGTCTACAGGTCTGGGAAGAAACTGGGAGGTGGGCAAAGAAAGTGTGAATGACAAACCTCCTTCTCCTTAATATGAGTCGACTTGTATGATTATTAATATTCTAGCCAACCTTCTGTTTTTTCCAGAGATATTGGCCTTGCTTCCATGACGCCCCTCAGGAACATAAATAGACTTTCCCTTGGGAGTGGGAATAAATTAATTCATGCAATTATAGAATAATTAAAGTACTTTCAGCCAATTCAAGTCTTGAGAAAAATCCAGAAATAACTTCTTGACTTAAGTATTATTTACTAAATTAATTCTTTGCCGAGCCTTTTTATAGAGTCCTGGTTTTTCCCCTTTCCCTACTGCTTGAGAATAGAGGCATTGTGTAATTACTGAAATCACTTGTGAGTGGCACATTCTTTTTATGAGGAACAAATGAAGGACTTAGTAACTTTTTTGCTAATTGGCGCTGGTACCGTGATGTTGGTTAACACTGTAGTTTGGTTAGCTTCCCGATCAGGTCTTTTTGTTTTGTTTTTTTAAATGGTGCTGGGGATGGAATTCAGGGCCTTGAGCATACTGGGCACGTGCTTTGCCACTGAGATACATCTTTATTCCAGGCGCCTGTCTAGAATTTCCTGCAGACTCTTTTCTTAAAGTGGAGGACCTTGCTGGACCCGGTGGGGGCCTTCAGAAACTTCTGGGGCAGCCCCTGCCTGCCTCCAGAAGGAGCTTCCTGGGACTGGAGAGGCAGGGTGACATGATAACCCAGTGATTGTTCTCTGGAGTGAGGTCACCTGGGTTTGGCTCCTGGCCTCATAATTGCAGGGGATGAATCTTCCTTTCCTTCTGGATTTTCCTTCCATACCTGTTTTCTGTAGATGATGTCTGTGAGTACTGAGTTCATCCACATTGAATACCTAGCACAGCACATTGACTGTGACCACTCAGCAAAAGTGTTTATACAAAGGTTGTTGTTAATGCGGCAGCATCAGGGACACAGTTGTCTGTTGTTTAGTGGAAGGTACAGCTAAACATCATATGGAAGGGGTGCGAGAGAGGGTTATATGCCTAGCAGGGGACTTATATTTTCTCCTGGGATCCTTTGTGCCTGTATATAGATGTGTGAGTGCTCCCTGCACTCTTGGGCAGATTGATTCCAGCACAACTCTAAATATATTAAGAAAAATCATTCCATAATTTAGAAATAAGGCCAATAGAGTACAGTGTGCCCTCTCAAAGTCATTCTTGGTCATTGTTCAGCCAGCACTGCCTGCCCCCAACTTTTTAATATCTAGGGAAATGCACATTTGTTTGACTTTGTTATTGACAATTAATTAAGGCTTCAGACTGAAGTCATACATCAACTGGTAGATCTTGTCCAGTAGAGATGCAAATAATTTTGCCCAGTAGAAGAGATAACCCCAGAGGTTGATATTTTAAATGCATCGTAGGACAATATCCAGCTTCTGTTTCATCTAAAGTGTTAGTGTCTTGATCCTGTTTAAATGCCCCTAAGTACCTCCCTCCTCACAATTCTATTTGAACCAGTTCTGCTATGTTACCTGCTTCCTTGTTAGTGAGTTAAAGAAACTTTGACACATGGTCATTCTATATTTGTATGAGCTGTGTTTTTAACTTGATGACAGTAACACTTTGACAGAGATAGTGGGTGTTCTTTTTTCCAAGTGTAAAGGGAGGGGTCATATTTCTTTATCCCCATGCCATTCATGCCCAAGGTTGTAGAGCTATGATGGTTCCAGCAGCAAGCTATTGGCTTAGGCTAGTTTGTGCTTTTTGTTTGCCTTCCACATCTGTCCATCCTAGTGGCATCTGGTAAAAACAAACATTGAGAGTAGGCCCCAATAGGATGGGGGTGCTGAGAGAGGGCTTTGCTTGTGTATGTGGGTAGCAGTAGCAGGGTGCATCCCTCCTTCTACTCAGTCCTCATGAAAAGGGCTCTCCCACCCCGAGTCCCCCACATCCCTGAGGGCCATCTTTCAGTGTAGTAATAAGGGGCCTGGAGCGATTAGCAATATTTCAGAAAGCTTAAGGGAGATCATACATCTCCCTGTGACAGGTTTTCCCAGACTAAATGAAATGTCATTTCTCTGCTTTTTGGCTAGAATTCCGTCAGCTCAGTCTGGCTGCCCTGCTTATCTTGGGCTGATCAGAAGCCCTGATTGGACCTTATATGCGTCCTTGACAAATAAAAATGAATGATTACTTAATAAATGCAATTGCTTTGGCAGATACAGCCTTTCAAAGTATGGCTCCAGGGGGCTCCAAGGGATGTAACAAAATAAATGTTCTTGGTGGCGCAGAGATGGGGACTCACTAGCTCACCTAGGACCAGCTCAGGCTGAGACCCCCTCTCCTGGGAAACAGTATGGTAGCTCCAGGACACTCAGCTTCTCAACCTACCTGAGAACTTGGTCTGGGACAAAGCCTTGTCTGTCATGTGAGTAGACCTTAGTACAAGGGAGTTAGTTTCACGCAAGGCACTAAAGTACGAGTGTGGCAGCAGGGCACAGTGTCTTAAGTGTTTTCATCTCTTGAAAGGTACAGTGAACCAAGTCTACCCACTTCTAGAAGTGTTGTGAGGAATCAGCAGCAATCACCAGGGGGACACCTAGGAGAGGTCACCAGCTCACAAGCACTGCGATGTTCTGATTTACCTCTACGGCTGCCCTTGAGAGTAGCACTGTTATTGTTTCCGTTTGACTGATGAGAGTGTAAACAGCTTGTTGAAGGTCACAAAGCTCAATTGAAAAGTGCAAAAGTAGGTATGAGCCATATAGAAGGTTGTGGGGTTGCACCTGCTTTGTACCTTTTTCCAATGATGGACAATTAAGTTAACCTTGAGGAATCTCAGTTCCTCATCTGCAAAATAGGGGTCATGGCTATACCCTTTATAGCTGTTAATAAGGATGTCAGCTGTTGGTTGTAAGGCAGAGTTATTCTTGAGCACTTGATTTGGTTCCAGCTCTAACTGATTGGGTTTCAGAGGGGAATCATGGGGTTAGGACAAGTATGAGACATAGAAACTATGGAATCCTGGAAAACCACAGAGATCAGATCTAAGGGTTTCACTCACACTGAATGCAGTCTTACATTCATGTGTTTGGCTGTTACAAGCAAGCGCGTGCATAATAGAGCCAATCTATGGTATATAAATTATACCTCAATAAAGCTGTTTAACAAAACAGAGCTATTTCCTGCTGTCTTGGGGGTTTATGATAGTGGGCTAGATGGTCGTTAATCAAGCAATCACACAAATAATTGCTAGTGCTGTGAGAGAAAGCACTGTCCTATGAGTGTATGGAAGGTTAGGGGGAAATCTCTGAGCTGGAATGGGAGGTAAAGTAGGGCCTGAACCCAGTGACTGAGGAAATGGAAGGAATGCTCTGGCAGTGGAAACAGCATGCACAGAAGACCTGAGGCAGGAGAGCACAGGGATGCCTGAGGAAGAAAAAGGGCGAATGTTGCATGATGCAAGATGAGACCAGGGAGGCAGGGAAGGCCTGCCTGTGTAAAACTCTGTAGGTTGAGGAAAGATCCTAATCCTGTGCTTTCTACCTTGTGAACCCCAGCTCTTCTTAATTGGCTGGAATGTTTGTTAATGAACGTGGGGTCCCACCAAGCTGAAAGAAAGGCCAAGGCAGCCAGTAACCTGGGTGTCAGCTTTCTGCTTGAGCATGTCTTTGTCTCCTGGAAGCCCACTGGCAGATCATCTTTGGACCCAGGTTTGACTCTATTCTGCAGCTGTTCCCTAGCGGGGAACAGGCTTTTAGCTTTAATAAAAAAGAGAATCGAGATAAGAAGCCTGGCTCGGCAGGGAGAGCAGCAGTGACAGGATGATTTAAATGGCCTCTCCAGTGTCATTTCTTCTGTGCAGACATCATAAATCAGATTAGCATTGGGCTTTGGTGGGGCAGGGAGTCGGAGCGGGGGAGAAGGACCTTGACTCTGGAGCTGCCTGGGACTGTCCTGGAGCCACCAGGGGTGGTGGTGGGGTCAGCTAGTCCTGATTCTCAGTCCTAACCGTATTCTTTGGAGGAGGAGTTGGTGGGATAGGTCCCCAAACCTGTCCTCAGCTTTGGGCAGGAATGGAGAGGAGTGGATAAGAGAGAAGGGAAAGGAGAGGAGAGGAAGAGTGGATAGATGGATGCAGGAAGTAGAGAGGCCTGGCTACTGGGAAGATGAGCAGCCATTCTCCTACCTTAGCATGCATTGAAATCTTTACCTTATGAACTTAAAGAAAATACTGGTTAAAAAAAAAAAAGGAAAGAAAATACTGGTGCCTGTACCATTTCTAAGTTCCAGATGATTCTGATGTGTGACTAAAGTGGAGAAGCACTAAATTAGAGTTTAGTTTCTATCCTAAAGATGGAACTAAATCATCTAAAACTCTCTCTCTCATCACTTTTCAGATCTACTGGGTCCCTTTGGTCTCCTCTTAGAGTGTCCCAATTAAAAAACCAGAAAAGATTTCCCCAGATAGAGCAGAAATCCCACCTGCCTCCCTTCTCTTTCAGATCTCCCGCCACCTGGGCAAGATGTATAGTGAGATGATCTTTGTCAACGGCTTTGTGCACTGTGACCCCCACCCAGGCAACGTGCTGGTACGGAAGCATCCAGCCACAGGCAAAGCAGAGATTATTCTGTTGGACCATGGACTCTACCAGGTAGGAGAAGTCTTTATTGTCTTCCCAGGAGCTAGTTTTGCCTAGGGTCAGAGTCCACCGAAATTCTCCATCTTCCATGGAAGTGGAGTGAATAGCTAGGGTGGCTGGGGCTGGACAGGGCTCTGCCCTCCACTAGGAAACTGACATTTCCTGCACTTTGCTGCCCTAAGAGCTCACTGACCTTCAACTTCTTCCACAAAAGTAAGATTGATCTAGTCTTCTTTACAAACCATCACGATAAGTAGATGGCAGGGGCTTGTGGATATGTTGTGCCTTCCTAGGGAACCATGGGCCAGCCTTGACCTGGGAAATGAGCTGCCCTTGGTATGGGCTGGGACTTCGAGAAGGAGAGGTCCCAATGAGGTATAATAGAAAAGTAGGGGAAGAGAACTGACAGGGGTAGAGTAGCTCTTTAGTGGATCCTCAAGAACGCAGGATGGAGAGCAAGCTTTAGCATGAGCTCCCACCTGGAAGCTAGGAAGTTCACTGCCAACCTGGTATCCCCTTGGGTCCCAGCTTGATTCCATGAGGAAGGTGGTCCTGGGAGGTTTCCCCAGTAGTCTTCTGCTCCTTCCCCTGGGCCCATGTTTCCGTGTCTCAAAATCTCAGCATCCTCTGAAAGGCTTGGTGAAGTAGCACATACTAGGTTAAGTTAGGCTAGCTGTTGTCACACAGTCCCCAAGTGAATGGTGGCCCAACAGGAGTTTCATTGATTGTTCCTATGCCAGTCCTCAATGTGGTGGAGTCTATAGGCTCTGCCTCTCAGGTGTCTGGAAACAGTGATGCTGTCAACTGACAGCAGGGGCTTGGAGGCACATGGGTGGGGAAGTTGAGGGGGATGTAGAACTTCTGCCACATTGCGTTGATCATAGTTCAGCAGAGAGCCCACAGTTAACTTTGGGGGATGCTGGGAAAATCATCTGTACCAGAGAAGAAGAGTGCTCATAGACTTCTGGTTTCAAGCATTCCAAGTGAGGGATATTTAATCGATAGTAACTTTGGCCTTGGGCCCTTAGGGATGGCCACACTTTGATGGGGAGCAGACATCATGGGGAGTCATAGTCCTTGTCCCCTTTGCAGTGGTCAGCACCAGGGCTTGGGCCTTTGGTGAGGAGAGGAGGCTCAGGTCCTGTCATTGCTGTTGTGGCCATAGGTGCTCACGGAAGCGTTCCGCCTAGATTACTGCCACCTGTGGCAGTCTCTGATCTGGACGGACATGGAGAAGGTGAAGAAATACAGCCAGTGCCTGGGAGCTGGTGAGCTCTACCCCTTGTTCGCCTGCATGCTGACAGCCCGCTCGTGGGACTCCATCAACCGGGGCATCAGCCATGCCCCAGTCACTGCCTCTGAGGTACGTAGTCCTTCTCAGCCCTACTACCATCCAAATGCAAGGGACAGGACTGGCCTATGGATGCTTCCCAAATGCAAGGGACAGTGTGTGCGATTCTTGATTGGTGAGAGGAGTGTGCATGGGAGGAGGGGCAGCCCTGCGGCTCTATTGGATGAGGAGCAGGGAGGGAGAAGAGATGGTGTTCACAGGTAGAGGAGGGAAAGGGCAAGACATCCCACTGTGTCTCCTTCAGGCCTTTCTATCCTGGAGTGGAAGCATACTCAGGTAACCCTAATAACATGGACTTCCGTGGCTTTAGTTCCAACCTGCACATGTGAGAGTCAGGGTTCCTTCAAGTTCTCCCCCAGTGCTTCAGGAAGTCCTCAGGGGCTGTTTCTGTCTTAAGTCTTGTGGAATTTCTGTAGTCTCTGCCTGGCACAGTCTCCTGATACATTGCTCCTCTCAGGCGCCACACTGGGGCAAGCCCTTGCTTCTCTGTGTGGCATCCAAGCAGCATCACTCATCACGTCATCCTCTAGGACTTCTGCTGAAGTTGCCTGTTTGGTCTTTATTAGTTGCTCCTTTCTCTGTGTACCTAAATAGGAGTGTTGTGGAGTCTGGCTGGGGAACAGATCCTGGCAGCCTCTCCTTTGCTCATGCCCACCTTGGCTCCCCTAATAGAGGTACACAGGGCCAACTCATTCCTCCTGGCTCCACTTGGCTTCCTTCCAGGAGACCTCTCCATTCTTCATGGGAATGACTTCTGTCCCATCTACTCTTGTCAGTTTCCAAGGCCACCCATCCTGGGCTGTGGTGGACAGACTTGAGTTTCAGCTGAGGTCTCTGCTCACTGCAGGGTTATCCTTGTGCCATCAGGTAGTTTGGGCTCCGGTTCTAGCACTTCTTCCTGATTGCATGTCCTTGGGCATTCTTGTTACCTTAAGGTCCCTGCAAACTGGTTTGTGGCTGTTGGCTTTAGAGATGTCTGAAACCAAAATCTCACATGATCTCAAAGATGTCTCTTGGTCCCACTTTCCTACAAGTTGATGTCATCTTCCAGTAGTGTGGTGGCAAAGATGAGCACTCACTGTTCCTGACTGCACAGCCTTGAAGCTCATCATTTGAGTTGGAGTGACAGTCTCTTCTTTTGTACAAAAAGGGGAAACAGGGACAATGATTTCTGTTTTACCAATAATGCAAGCAAAGTGCCAACCCAAAGTTCTGGAAGTTAATTTATTCCACAAACATTTGGTTTTGCTGAACTCTGGATTTGATGTTGAGGATCTCATGATTCGCAGACAGACAAGGTTTGTTTAATTTACACTTTGGTTGAGGGAGACAGACAGTAAACAAATGAGCAAACAGGTAAGTTAGCAAATGTAATGGCAGGTGATGGATACCAAAGGAGGAAAAAAACAGACAAATAAACATGCACACATGAGGGGCTGGTATGATGTTCAGAGAAGACCTCCATGAAGAGCTGACATTTAAGCTGAGGTGTAAAGGACAAGAAAGGGAGCAGCCTCAGGAAGGGCTTGAAGGACACATTCCCAGCACGCTAGAGGAAAGGAGGGTTTGGTGCAGTCTGGAGTGTGGCAAGGAGGATGGTGGAATAGAAGAATTTGGCACTCTGGGCATGGAGGGGTTCACATGGGGTCTTTTAAGTCATGAAAAGAAGTTTAAATTCATTCTTAGTTTCCTAGTCTCTTTCCTATCACTGGGACAAAATACCTGACATGCACAGTTTAGGGAGAAGAGCTTTATTTTGGCTCATGGTTTCAGGTAGTTCAGTCTATAGTTAGCTCCAAGGCAGAAATGGCATGGCAAAGGGCATGATGGAGGGAAGCTACTCAACTCATGCGACCCAGGAAGAAGAGAGAGAAGGATCCAGGGACAAGAATACACTCATACCCCAGTGACTTACCTTTTTGGACCAGGCTTTCTCCTCATAGTACATTCAGCTATAAACTCATCAATGAATTAATCTGCTGGTGAATAGAAGGCCTCCATAATCCAGTTATCTTCTGAAAGCTCCACCTCTGAAAATAATGAAACTTTTGGGTGACGAGATCTAAATCATAACACTTGGTGCAAAACAAACCCTTTAAGAGCCTATAAGCAGGAAAAGAAAATGCTCACAACTGCTGTTTTTTAAAATATCTCCCTGGAATGGAGTAGATGTGCTGTGGGGTAGTCAATTAGGAGGCTGGCTAAGGATTCCAGGTGTCGAGGTGATAGAGGCTCAGTTCATGCTGGTAGAAAACTGAGTGCTGTTCTCATTTAGAATCAAGGGAATCCTGATACTGTACCCGGGAAAGGTATTTCCTCCCAACTAAACATGGCCTAAATAATGAGTTTGTTCTCTCCAGGGATGTGGGTCCTAGGGCTCTGGCTCACTCCTGTGATTCTCTTGGCTCTCCTATCATGATTGTAAGGTGGCAGTGGCAGTCCCAGGCTTCACATCTTTCTTCAGTGATGACCAGAGATCAGAATCAGGAGCTATCTTCTCTCATGTATTATCCCTTAGCTGCAAGAAGCCCTTTCCCAGAAATCCCCCAGCAGACTTGTCCTTAAGTCTCATTGGCCAGAAACTTATCACATGTCCTTACCTACACCAATCACATGGTAGGAGGATGAGTACTCAGAGCCCAGGTTGGCTGAGAGTTGTCAAGAGTTCCTGTTGGGGGGTGGCAAGCAGCTCTGAGTCCCTGAAGAGTGTGACCCCAAGGAGTCCAGTAAACAAAACTGGAGTTCTTTTAACAAAGGAGAAGGGGAGTGGCTGTTGCATGGATGCCTGGCAGGGTATACTACAGATACCCACCCTCAGAACATGTGCAAGCCTGCAGCTTTGTTGCTCTGAGAGCCACTGGTGAGGGCACCCTGCGGGCCTTCTGTTTGGACTAAGAGGGGTGTCAGCAGGCCAGTTCTGAACTGGCTGAGGGGGCACTCCATAGTGAGCCAGACCTTGGCCTGCCCTTCATGTTCAAGCAGGGAGACCTGCAGTTGTGGTAGTGGACTACCTCTTGGTGTCTGGCTTGTGTTGAGATGTTCTAGTCTGATAGCTCCTGCCTGAGAGACATTTTAAGTTTCACAGCAACTTAGTTATCAGCAGTATTCTCATGCTTCTCAAAGGACTGTTGGTTTTGCTTCTGCTGCAGAAGGTGGCCTTTGGCAGCACTGCTGGGCCCTTGGAAAGACTTCAGCTGGCACAGAGTGCTTGGCTGTGCTTTGCCTTTTATGACCGTCTGGGCTGGTAGGAGGTCAGAAGAAATGAAAGGACTTGCTCAGGGTCACACGGTCCTGCTGTGGGGTGCAGAGGCCTTATGACTGGATGGGGAGGGCACTGGCTCAGCTGTTGGGCTGCCTGGGTTTAAGTCTTGACCCATCACTTAAGAGCTGTGGACGTTAGACAGATTACTTTACTTCTGAGTGCCTTAGTTTCCTCATTTTAAATGACTGTCTTTCCTTTGCTGGAACAAAGGATCTGACAGACACAAGTTAAAGGAGGGTTTATTTTGGCTCATGGTTTCAGAGGTTTAGGCCCATGGTAGGCCAGCTCTGAGGCAGAAACATGATAGAAAGATGGGGCAAGGGAAAGTTGCTTACCTCATGGCATCTGGGAAGCCAAAAGACAAAGAAAAAGCCCAAGAGGAAGAGGCCTAGAACAAGGAAAACCTTTCAAAGGCACTCTTCCAATGACTTTTCTCCTCCAACTGGATCCTACCTCCTAAAAGCACATTCAATTATGAAGTCACCAGTGTATTAATCGCCTTTTAAAAACCCATCCTCTGAACACACCGGCCTTTTGGGGGACATTTCGATCCATACAATAGCAAATGGGGATAATACATGCAATGTGATAGACTCAGTATGAGGATTAAGTAAATTAATACTGCAAGCCTTTTTAAAGTGCCTGGCTTACTTGGTAATTTTCCAGTGTGTGTTGGCCACCACCATCACCACCTTTATCACTGTCATTATCATTTTTTTGGAGACCAAAAAGGTTCAGAGCTACACTGGCAAGCCCAGAATTCTGGCTGGGTGATTATCTACCTGGGCCCTTACAGAGCTCAGGGACAGGGAAGGAATTGAAGTCAGGCCCTTCTCAGCATCAAGGGCCAGCCCAGCATCCTACTGTAGGAACCTCAGGATCTCAGGTAGTGGCAGGATGAGACTGGTTCTGGCTTAGGGGTGGTGATCAGCAGTAGCATGTGGGTAGTGGGTGAATCCAGTGGGGAGCAGGGTGTGGGATGGGATTTGGGAGCTGTGTTGGAGCCAGGAGTTCAGATCTATGGCCTCTTACAGCCTGGACTCATTGATGAGGGACATGACTCTGCTTGCAGGGCTCCCAAAATTGGTGACCAGTGCAGGACCCTTGGAGAGTCACCTGGCCTTTCTGGATGTGCTTCTGTGCTGTACCCAGTGCTTGCCTAAGGTCTGAGCTGGGTCCTCCCATCCAGATCTTTTGTTCCAAAAGCCCCTGGTGCCAGACTTCCCGTAGGGAGGCTCCTTGTAGTACCAGAGCAGCTGTGCTAGGAGCTCAAGGCTGGAGCTTTCTTGTAATCCCCTGGTTGCAGGTTGCCCAGACCTCTGCCACTCTGGTCCCTCCTTCCTACACTGACATTTGTTTCTGTCTTGCCATTGCTGCCTCAGGATTCAGAGATCCGCAGCAATGCGGCCAACTACCTGCCCCAGATCAGCCAACTTCTCAACCATGTACCACGCCAAATGCTGCTCATCCTCAAGACCAACGATCTGCTGCGTAGCATCGAGGTCACCCTGGGCACCCGCGCCAGTGCCAGCTCCTTCCTCAACATGTCACGGTGCTGCATCAGGGCACTTGCTGAGTGAGTATGGGCTTCTTTCTCTGCCCACCGCCTCCCTGCCCCACTGTCTTCCCCATGGATGCTGCCTGGCTTTGCTTTCTGCAGTAGCCCATGTGATCTGGCCCATCTGGCCCAATTCCAAATCCCCCTAAGAAGAAAGATAGGGGCAGTTAGCTCCGGCAAGCTAGCAGGTGCCCTGGAGTGTAGTGCCTTTGGTTGGACCGGAAAATCACCTGTACTTGTTAAGTGGTGGATTCTAGGACCTTATCTTCCTTATTCAGTCTTCTAAGCAGTTCTTATCTTAAGTTTAAAATGTTTTTTGAGAGTCCCAGCCCCATCCAGGGGTACCCTGGGCTTGGTCTCAGGAGTCTTTGGTGCCACCCCATCTCTAATTGACCCTGGGACTGGCCAGGCAGCTAGGCCAGTGCTCTTTTTCTTGGCTGTGACTCAGGAAAGTGTGGTCATTAAGCTCTCCGGGAATCCACTCTTTCTAGCTACTGCAGTGCCCTTGGAGTGTTGAGGATGAGGAGAAGGGTGCTTACTCAGGAAAATAACTCCAGAGACTGAGGGCTCTAGGCCTTCAAGTAGTGTGGTGAACATCTGAAGGCCCTGCTCTGATGGAATGTTTCACTGGCTTGTGGTCTGGTCCCTGCCCACCTATACTGGCAGGCAATAGGTCATCCTGGGAAACTTAAGAGATTGACCACATATATCATGACCCACATCAAACATCACACAATAGTACAGCAAAATATACTGCATGCTAAAAGAGCTGGTCATGATTTATTCTTCCTTAGAGTGTGTAGGAGGTTATAATATTGAATAGGTCATCATCATAAACACCAGTTTTCATTGCATCTTGTTTTGGGCCCAGAAGGAGTTGGGCCTGAGCCTTCTAGGACCATTTGATCATTTTTACAATGAGTTTTACACTCAAAAAGTTTGATTGCATTTAAGTTTGGAAGATTCTGGATTAGCATGTGTTTATTATACTTTTGGAAAAGGAATCTGGTATGTTCTACTCCCTGGATATATCAGATCCTAAGATACCCTGGGAAACAATTGCTTTTGCTTACCCAACTTATGTGAATAACTTCTTTGGAGTATCTGAGTTCCTCTGGTCCTGCTTTGGGCAGTGATATGATCCCATAACCAAGGGTGGTTCCCAGGAGCAAGGAGCTAGAGAGTCAGCCAAGTCACCATCTTTTATTAATGATGTAATGTTTCTCACCTCTTTCTCTCTTTTCTTTCCTTTTCCTTGCCCTTTCTCCAGGCACAAGAAGAAGAATACTTGTTCATTCTTCAGAAGGACCCACATCTCTTTCAGCGAGGCCTTTAGTTTATGGCAGATCAACATGTATGAACTCATTCTGCGTGTGAAAGGGCTGAGGCTGACCAGCTGGGTCTCAGCCCTGATTTGCTGGCTTTTTCCTGTTCCACACTGAGTGGGTTTGCATACTCCTTTCTGGCTCCTTTCACTGTTCATATTTCCTTTGTTCCCTGTCTCCTCCCAGTGCCCTCATTTCTATCGTGGGGTGATCTGCAGTCTCAGGGTCATGGTCCATGCACCAGGATGCTCTACCTTTGGAACTACTCAGCTGGGCCATTCCTGTTTCTTCAGGGAGAAGTTACAGCAGCCTCTTCTCCTGTGCCTGTGTGTGCCCTTGGCCCCTATTCCCCCTTTCCACTGCCCACTTATATTGTCAGTATTGACCAAGTGTGCCACCGAGGGTACATTTAACTAGCAGGAAGTCTGATTTTGTCAGAGGTGAGCATTGTCTCTGAAACTTCTGGAGGACAGGCTCTCTCTCCTTCCATGTCCCTTCCTAGAGGTGTCACGCCTGAACGAGGCAGTTTGCCATCTGAGGGCAGACTCTGGGAAGCTGTGGGTTCACTGAGATCTATTTGGTATTATTTGTATTGTATTTCAGTAAGTCTGCTTTGGTTTTCAGAGTCTGTCCAGCCTGACTCACTTGGCTCCCACTTCACCCCAGCCAGGTACCCATTCTGAGTGTGGTCCTGGCCCTAACCAAAGGTGGACAGCTCCTCTTGGGTGCTTTAATGTTTCTCTGGGATTTCCCTGGGAGACCTAGGAGAATAAGGCCAAGGCTTGATGGAATTTTTATTCAAGGTTGGGAATGAATCCACACCAGACAGTGATGGATCTGAGCACTGAGTACCAAGAGGATCGGCGCCTTGGCCCCTTGCCCTTGTAATCTTTCCAAGAAGTGGACTCCTTCCACTGTGGGACCACTTCTTGGGGGACTTAGCTCTCCTTCCAGGACTGAGAACTTGATTGGAGAAGTTAAGCCCAGGGCTGGGAGCTTAGAGGCTGGCTTTTTTCCCTCTAGATCTTGACCACATTTAGGTACCTCATTGTTCTAGCCCTTTCCTGACTTAACCTTCTGGTTCTTAGGTGATGGCTTCAGTTCCAGTCTGGGATTCTACTGGATCTTTTCAGTCCTCCTAGAGTCCTTATTCGTGTTGCTGAAACTTTAGTCACTAGGGCTAGACTTTCTTTCTTTCTCTCTCTCTCTCTCTCTCTCTCTCTCTCTCTCTCTCTCTCTCTCTCTCGTTCCGTTCCTCTCCTTTCCGTTCCTTTCCTTTCCTTTCCTTTCCTTTCCTTTCCTTTCCTTTCCTTTCCTTTCCTTTCCTTTCCTTTCCTTTCCTTTCCTTTCCTTTCCGTTCCGTTCCGTTCCGTTCCTTTCCTTTCCTTTCCTTTCCTTTCCGTTCCGTTCCGTTCGGTTCCGTTCCTTTCCTTTCCGTTCCTTTCCTTTCCGTTCCTTTCCTTTCCGTTCCTTTCCTTTCCGTTCCGTTCCGTTCCTTTCCGTTCCTTTCCGTTCCGTTCCGTTCCTTTCCGTTCCTTTCCGTTCCGTTCCATTCCTTTCCGTTCCGTTCCGTTCCTTTCCGTTCCTTTCCGTTCCGTTCCGTTCCTTTCCGTTCCTTTCCGTTCCGTTCCGTTCCTTTCCGTTCCGTTCCGTTCCGTTCCGTTCCTTTCCGTTCCGTTCCGTTCCGTTCCGTTCCTTTCCTTTCCGTTCCTTTCCTTTCCTTTTGCGGTTCAGGGTGGCCTTGAGCTCACTTTGTAGCCCAGGATGGTCTCAAACCTGTGATGATCCTCCTGCCTCAGCCTCCCAAGTGCTGGGATGACAGGCATGCACTACCACATAGGGCTGGGTTTTTGTTCAGAAACCTCATGTTGCCTGTTTGAATTCTGCTTACATCTGTTGAATTGCAGGCTACTTGTCCCGTCTGTCCTCTGTTCCTCCTTCTGGGACACCCTATACTGCTGCTCTAACTCCTATGTCTGTATGGTGTCTGGGTCCCCAAGACCTCAAATTTGCCAGGTCTAGCTCCCTGAAGATCCATGGTCCTAGATGGTAATTTTATTTGAATCTGTCTTATCTTGTTCTACCCTATTCATAGGGGTAGAAAACCATGAGTCAGGGACTGGGGATATAGCTCAGTGACATAAGCACTTGCCTAGTAAGTGCAAGGTCCTGAGTTCAATTCCTGGTCCCACCTACTCACCCCCCAAAAGAAAACCCTTAGTCTAAATCTTGTTTTCTGTTCTTTTTATTCATAATATGACAAGTAGATTTTCTAGTGATCAGAAATGGTTTGTCACTCTTTTATTTCCCAAAAGAATTGATTGTTCTTAGAGACTAGTTCAATGTATCCAGGGACCTGCAAGAATAATTTGCAGAATCTGTTATTAATCATGAGGATGCATGGTGCATATTATATTTTATGATGTCTTTTATAGGCACTGAAGTAAATATAAATGTCTTTTCTGTTCAAGGTAATGGTTGCTTGCTTCTCACTTTCATGTGATGGTTGGCTTCCTTTGCGCTGGGATCTAAAACATCAGCATGTTGCCAGTGAGCCCAGCACCCAGGATGCTTATCCAGGTAGACCCGAGAGACAAGGAGAGTTGGAGGTACAGGACAGCTTGAAAGTAGGAAGGGAGCAGGCTGATTTTTATTGAGTGCTTTTCCCACGAGGGGCCAGCAAGGCTATGTTATATTTTAAATTATCTCATCAGCTCTCTGAGGAAGGGGTTATTAGCTTCATCTTACAGAGGTGGGAACCTAGGGTCAGAGAAGTTTAGTAATTTGCCTGTGGTCACTGAGCAGCTGAGTGGTGTTCTCTGCTTTGTTTTTGATTCCACAGTGCCAAGGTAAGGATTATAATTATTCCTATGGCTGTCTTATGTGCTTGACTTATATGCCCCTCAGGTATGTGTCCAGCACCTAGATGACCAGCACCTAGATGTCCTTGCCTGCAGAAGATGCTCCATAAATGTGCAAACATTGAGAATCCTGACACTCTTTGAGATTTTCAGAGATGGTAAAATCTGTGCTTTTGAGAAGCTACACACACATCAGTCCTGCAAGAGGTGGTGCTTTGCCGGTCAGGTTAATTTGGGGAGTGTTTCTTGGTCACTGCAGGATCAGAAATGGTCTCAGCTCTGCAGGCTTCCTGGGGGCACTCCTGACACTGCTGCAGACTTGCACACCCAAGACCTGATGCTGTTGCTTCTGGTCCCTGCACTCTTGGTCAAAGGGGAGCTGTGGGAAAGCCCCACGCCCCAACCCTTAATTCTGCAAAAGTCTTGATAGAAGCCAAGTTTGGTAAAGACCTATTTGGCCCAAAGGCTCCCGTTCTTACTTCCATTTTTTTCATTTCCTCCCCATTTCCTTCCTTCTCTCTCTTCCTCCACTCTTTCCTTACTGTGAAGCAAAGCCTGATGGGGCTCATTTCCAAAGGAAGAGTGTGATTGTCCTTTGGAAGAGTGAATGTGACACCCTGGGCTGCAGTTGCGATGTCTGTTTCCTTTGCAGTCAGTGCCTCTTGGCCTGATCTCCCTGCTCCTGTGAAGCTCTGCTGTCAGCCAGCTCCCCTCCTCCCAGGTCACGGTGCCCCTGGCCAGTGCTGCTGGGGCATGAAAGCTCTTTCTCCCTGCTCTGCCTTTGGCTGCACTGTTGCATAGCTCCTCTGAAGTTTCTTCTTGTTTTTTCTCTTATGCATTAGAGGGAAGGACAGTGTTAAGTATGGTCACATGGTAGGAATTCAGCCTCCCAGGCCTGCCATTTCAGCATCTGTGTCCTTGCATTTCAAGTTCCCCAATTAGGGTAGAGACCTCTGTCTCACAATCACACATGGTTCAAGTGTCTTCCAGAGAAGAAAGGAACGCAGCTCAGGAACTGCTTCATGCATGGGCATCAAATAGCACTTCACTGAGATTGAGAGAGGCCTGACTACTTTCACAATTAAAAAGCTCTCAGGAAATCCTCAAAATGCATATGTGCCAAAGCAAGACAGTGAAAGCAGTGATGTGGCATTAATGGTTAGTTAATTACAAGTTGACTCGGTAAGCATAACACTAATGTTATTCCTAGTGTTGAACCTCTCCCCAGAAGTAGGCATGAGGGATATTGTTTTCTAGATGTATTTACAGTTCTAGATGTGGAAATCACATTTAGTGGGGATTGGCAGGGAAGTCACTGGTCAGTTTCTTGTGGTGGGCCTGGCATCTCTGTATGGGTCTAACCTGACAGTTGCCTCTCTGTGCCCAGCAAGGCAAGACAGCCTCTCCTGAGCTGGTAGCCAGTCCTTTCAAGTGCATTTGGTCCTGAGAGACAGAAGTGATTGGTGGGCCTGTCTTTAGGTGGGTCACAGTGGGGAGGGAAGGCAGGAAGGATGGACTGTCAGTAGCATAGACTTTTTTTCTTTCCATGGCTAATGCCGGGTGGGCTACAGAGCCCTTCCAGGTCCTAGAAACTAGTGTGCCAGGTGTCATTTCATCCTTTTGGAGTTACCAGGGCTGAGCTGGCATCTTGGAGCTCAGCCCCCTGGTCTGTGTATCTGGCAGGAGAGCTTTCTGTGCCAAAGATAGGCTTGCACACGCCGTTATCTACCTACAAGTGGTGTAGAGTAGTAATTAAGGGCATGGCTCTTGCGTTGGCCTGAGTTCAGTCTTTTGTACTATATTATTCTATTCTACCTATGTAAAGCAAGTGACTCAACCTCTTGGGGCCTTGCTTCTCCAGTTTGAAAAGTAAAGAAAATAGCAACTGCCTAGGGTTACTGAGAGAAACTGGGTAGGTAATAGATACAGTGTATTTGAAGAAGATGAACCACTCCACAAGTATTCAGTAAATATTTGTTAATAGCCTACATGGCAGACACTATTCCCAGCCTTCTTAGTTCTTACTAAGGTAGGCTTGGGTCTAGGTGGAAGGACTAGCTAGCAATAGATGACAAAACAGCAACAGCTAATAGTAATAGTAATAATAACAACTAATATCAAGGACTGTTTGCTCACTGCTTTGCATGAATTCATTCTCATTTAGTTCCCACATTAGTGCCATGAGGTTCAGGGCCACTGTCATTGCTTTGGTCAGGTGAGCACACTGAGGCACAGCAAGTTCAAGATGCTTGCTGGAGGTAACCCAGGTGATGAGTTGGTCTGTAGCCACAGCTTGGCTTTCCACCTCTGGCTGCACCACAGGTGGCTTTGACTTGGGATTGGACGGCCAGCACTGCACCCAGTCCTGCTGGACTCCCATTACCTTCTCGTCTGCCTCCATCTGCACTGGTAGGCTCCTGTGGTGGGCAGCTGGAGGGGAGCTGAGCAGGGCCCTATGAGCAGTTGTTTTCCGAAAAGGAGGGAGGCCTGTATGGGCCAGAGCTTACCCAGCCAGTGTGGCCTTGGACACCAAACCTGGGCCCCTCTGGATACCGTGATAGGAGCCTCTGGAAATCCTTGTCAGGGAATGAATATTGGCAGAACTGCTGTTTTACCCCATGGTAAGTAGGAATATAGAAGAAGTTCTGTCTTCTTTACTTCTTCCTCTTCCTCCCAAGTATTTAGGAAGAAGTGACAAGCTGTGAGAGATTCAGGAGAGAAACCAGAAGCAGGTTTCTGATGAGCTGGTTGGAAGTGAGTTCTAAGTCAGCAGCAGTTTACGTCTGTAGCCGTCTAGTGGCTCTGACCCTTACCTTACTTTTGGCCCAGATCTGGTTCTCTGGCGGAGCCCAGTGCCACCTGCGCTGAGCCAGATAGCTGGAGGTCAGGCCTGTCATGACATCCTAGTCCTGGTGTTGTGGGCAGATGTTTTTGGTCCCTGAGCTTAGATTCCTGCTGTGGAACAACAGTGACTGTCCAGAGGCTGCCCCGCTCAGACATCTGTGGTGTCAACAGGTAGTGCTGGTGAAAGCTACAGGGAGAAGTAAACTAATGGGCACACAGCACTGCGTGGGCAGTTTATCTGCCTGGGGTCCCTTGCAGCTCGAACTAGGATTCCTTTTTCTCCAGGACACTTGTTTCTGCAAATGCACTGACGCTTACATCTCCCACAAGCCATGGGGTAGACACATGGCCACCCCTCTGACAAAAAAAGAGATTGGTTCCAGTAGGAACCCATGCTCCCAAGTAAACCTTTGGTGTGGAGGTATGGAGAATGACTACTTTCATTGCCTGCTAACTGGTGGCTATCTTGCTGTGTTGTTCTTGGAGCTTCTCAATCTAGCCATTCTAGCAAGCGAGGTACATTCTTGATTTTCAAAGTAAATGAGCCAATAAACTTGAAATCTTCCACCTCAGTTTTTGTGTGTGAATTACCTGTCTGATGTTTTGTGGGGAAAAGTCCTGATCATCACAGCTCTTTAAGGGGCTGGACCCATGTTGCAAGGTGTACAGACCCTATTGAAGACTAGACAATTCCTATATAAAGGTAGGAAATGAAGAGACGTTTATAGACTGGATGCTTTCCAGAGAGCTGGACAAGAGTAAACAGTTAAATTGGAATAAAATTGTTACTGTTATGGCTGTAGAAGGTATGAAAGTATGAGCTACTGGTTGGTTACTATACATGTCATTTTCTAGTGAAAACAATGTCATTCTGACTGGATGCCAGTTATGTGAATATACTTTGTACAGTAGACATGTCTGTTTTCTAGTAACACATGGAGCTGTTTGAACTGGCTGTTTGGCTGAAATAGGCTTAGTTTTCTCTATTGATTCTGCTCATTGCTGTCTACACACATCACCCCCAGAAAGCTGGCAGGAACAGTTTCTTTAGTCACAGTATTAGCTGGATAGAGCCATCTTTGGGAACACTTAGGATAAGGACAGTCTCACATGGGTGTACCCCATGGACCTGCAAGTTCTCTGCTGGCCAGGTCGTGGAGCCCACACTGAAGCAGGGGTGAGACTGGGAAAGGGACTGTGAGATTCTCTCTGCCCCTGTCCTTCATAAATTCCACATGCCCGACTGAGTAAAGTGAGAGCTTGTGGGAGAGTTGGCAACTCCCTCCCTGTTTAGGTTGTGCTGTTATTTGAAGTTTGTTAAACAGGCTGATCTTGATGATGCAGGCAGTAAGCTCACCCTGTATCCCTGACCCTACTCTGCTTTTTTCATAGTCCAAGCCACTCCACCTCTGTGACCATGCTCAGGTACAGCTTCCTGTAGGGAACCTGCCAAACCACTAGGCCCTTGCACATCTGCCTCTTTCCTCAGTTTTCCTGATCGTCTCTCCCATTATTCACACATGTCTCCCAGCTCATGCAGTCCTCAGAGGACAAGGCACATTCCCTCTGTCTCTCATGTGTCTTTCTACATCATGATGATGGAAGCAAAGGTCAGCCTCGCATTTGTTGGGTGGACATTTACGTGTGCATCAGTCCCTGCATGTACAGCACGTGTGCCTTCAGTGTCCATCCTGGGGGTGGGGAGGGGAGCAGTGAGATCAGATGTCATTCTGACTTTAAGGACTGTAGTCTCCAACAAGAGGAGCTGACTTTGGAAAGAAGAGGACTGTTGCTGAACCAGGAGTCTGCGCTCTGAAGAAAGAGAAAGGGATTTTACTGAGGGATAGTGGTGTTACTTGCAGCCCTGCCAGGAAGGAAGATGTGATGAGACCATTTCTGTATTTCTCTGTAGGGCCAGATGTCCCAGCATCTCATTTTGACTAAGATGTGACCTGAAATCTCAGTAGATGATGCCCTCAGCAGCCACCCAGTCCCAAACCCTTTATCCCCCTTGACCTTTGCATGACTCTCCTAACCCCTTTTGGTATCTCTTTGAATTTTTTTTTTTTTTTTTTTTTTTGTCTTTTTCGTTTTTATCGGTACTAGGGATCGAACTCACGACTGCCTGCTTACAAGGCAGGCGCTTATGCCACTGAGCTAAATCCCCAGCCCCCCCCTTTTGGTATCTCTTGCATCCATCAACTGTCTTCTACCTCTATACCATCTGGTTCACATCTGGTCTCCCCTGTAGTCTTCTGGCTCCCATCTTGTGTCTCCTTGTATCCCTCTGCACTACCCACCCAACTGCTGTTTTTCAAACAACCCAAAGCCAACTTGTCTAGAGGCATGTTGCCAAAAATCTGTTTGCCTAAGGATTGATTCAAGGAATCTATTTACCTAAAATTAAATATTCTTGAGTATTTTCAGATCCATTTGGCCTTCCTGGCTTATCTTGCCTGTTTTCTTTTGCATTTAAAAATTTTTAAAAACCAATTCATGAAAGAGGGATTTTGCTCAGTGGCATAAACACCTGCCTGGCAAGTCTAAGGTCATGAGTTTGATCCATGGTACCAAAAATAAATAAATAAAATTATGCCAGGCATGGTGTTGCCTGTCATCCCAGTACTTGGGAGGCTGAGGCTGGAGAATTGTTGTGACTTCAAGACCAGCTTGGGCTACAAAGTGAGTTCTAGGCCAGCCTGAACTACATAGTGAGACCCTGTCTCAAAAAGAGAGAGAGAAAAAGTGGGAGAGAGAGAGAGAGAGAGACAGAGAGAGAGAGAGAGAGACTATTTGACTCAATTTTTTATTTCTAATGAGTATCACATATGCAATTTTTCATGAATGGGTTTTTTTTGTATTCTTACATATATCTTTTTCTAGTTTACCTACTTTCATTAACTTTAAAGATAACCAATATTTAGCCCTGTGTTTAAAGACATTTTCCTCAAAATATTGCTATCTTAGAAGTAAATATTCAAGACATTAATTACAATCAATTTTTATGTCATCTTGATCCCTTAACTAAGGGTAAATTAATTTCAAATGAAAAAATGGATATTAACATTGAATTTTGTGTAAAGTATATTGCTTTATAAACTAAGTACCCTGAAAAATGTTGATTCTTATATGCAGTATTGCAGGTTGCCTAAATCTGTCCTTGCTAGGTACTGTAATACAGTGTATGCTCAACTTGTATGTCCGGTGAGATTCAAGGACAAAATTAGTACTATCAGTTGTAGCAAAGCAATTTATCCCATGAATAATAGGTGTCAGACCTCAGAGAGGAAACATTTGCTTCATATTTTATACAAGGAAACCAATGAAATGAAATAGACTGGTGTTGGTAGAATGGATAAGCTTTTGACTCAGGAAGGTAGACCATATTTGTTTGGGGTTCTAAAATAAATATGGCAAATACCTGTTACCTTCTAGCATGGCCAATACAGGCTCAACCGATTGACATTGCATCCTTTTACCTAGAGCTGGGATGTGGCTCCAGAATCCATAACATGACACACCAGCCAACTGCCATTCATCAAGCCATGTTGGCATGTAATGCCCTGGTGCTGTCTTTCTAACCAGGAACAGTTCATTACCTAGGGTAGTGTAGGGTGCTCCCAAATGAAAGGAGAGTGGACTGGTTACCTTCTTCACCAGCCAGAACATTCCTAGCTTTCTGTGATGGTGAGGCAACATCTTGGTCTCATTTGAAGAGATTAACGGTATTGTGACATTTCCTGGCTTAGAGAACTGTCACGCTACACTGTCTAGTTGTGTCTTCTGCAGGGAGTTTGAACTTCTGGGTTGTGGGGAGTCATTCTGAGCATTTACACTGGACCCCAAAGGAATTCTGAGTAAGAGCCCCTTGCCCCCTCACAGTGTCCAGCTTGGTAAGCTGCAGCCATGGGGCTGGGAGGACTCCCTGATGGGAGTCTAGGGAGCTGTGGGAGCTAACCAGCTGGTCACTGAGGGCAAATCTCCCCTCATCCACCTTGATTGTAGTTACCTGTAAGTTAAAGCAATTGAGTTATATCACTGATTGCCAGTGCAGGTGGTGCTGCCCCCAGGGGCTCTCTGGAAATGTATGGGGACATTTTTTGGTTATCATAATGATTGGGGAATTGCAGCTGGCCTGGAGTGGATGGGATCAGTGGGTCAGGGATGCCAGAGATCTTAAGGGCAACAGAACTTCTCTCAGCGAATTTCCTTGTAACTGGGTGATTTCTAATGGTTCCATATTATATGCACTTAGTGAAAACCCTGTTTATAATGAACTGAATCGACAACCTGTTTTACTTGTACATGCAAAGCATTTTTTGCATTGTTTTATTACCTGATTGGTTTTCTGGGAATGGAATTACCATGAATGTTGAGTAGTGACTTCTTTCTTTAGGAGTCACTGTTCACCATTTTGGGAAGCTAATTGCCAGCAGCAATGTGGAACCTGCATTTTTTCTTCATTTTATTTTAAAGAACAAAACAAAACAAAGCAGAACAAAGAAAATCAAAACAGAACAATTCAAGCAACACTGGACTTCAAAACAAGGCAACAGGATATCAGCAGTGGCTACCATAATGTCTCTTGTTTTCTTTGAAATAGTTGACCATACCTTCACACACAATAATATCAATCATAACAAAATAGTATTAAACCAATCAAAAGAATGAAAGCGTTACAGGACTTCAAAACCAGATAACAGGAAATGAACAGTGGTTACTGTAATATCTCATTTTCTTCAAAAAAGTTGTTCATTCTACCACACATAATAAAATTTTTTAAAAAACCAATAGAACCAATCAAAACAGAAGAATAAAAACAGGCCTTCAAAACAAGATGATAGGAAATCAGAAATGGCTACCATAATGTCTCATTTTCTTCAAACTAGCTGTTCATACCATCACATAGTAAAATCAAACAAAACAAAACAATAAAACCAATTAAATGAATGAAAGCATAAGACTTCAAAACAGGATATTAGATAACCAACCATGATTACCATAGATACATCCCATTATGTTCAAAATAGCTGTCTATACCATCAAAGTAAAATCTAACAAAATTACAGAAAAAAACCAAACCTAACAGAAGTGTGAAAACAATAGGAAAAGACAATAAGAAATTAACAGTAGTTACCACCTTTCCCTTCCAGGTGTTTCCTCTCCTGTCACTAACTATTTTGATCCTATTAACTCCTTCTGGTTTTATGTTAAGATTTGTATGAGTTCAAACTGTTTCGCCTATGAACATGATCTCCAGTTGTATCCATTTACCTACAAGTACCTCGAGATTATTTTACTTGATAGCTGAGTAGCTTTTCATTGTATGAAAATACCGTATCTTTCTTATCCACTCTGCAGTTGATGGGCAAGCTATTCCTGCTTATTGCTGACGTCCTATAACATGGTACATTGTTTTCTCTCCTTTGACTGTCTATGAATTTCCTTTCCAGTTAATGTGTTTCTTGTATCTAGTAATTAAGTTTTTTGTTTTGTTTTGTTTTTTGGTACTAAGGATCGAACTCATGACCTCACTCTTGCCAGACAGGTGTTTGTGCTGCTGTTCTAAATCTCCAGCTCTTGTATATAGTATATTGATGGATCTTGTTTCTTGCTCCACTCTCCCGGTGTTTCTTTTTATTGCTGAATTGAGGCCATCTACATTAATGGTTACAACCAGCGTACATTGGTTTGTCTGCCATGCTATCTTCCTGCTGTTGGCCCTCCACTTTTCCCATTCACTCAGTTACCTGTCTTGTTTGGTGATCCTCCTCTACTGCTCTTCCTGGAACCATGGTCATCTTTATCTCTCTAGAATATCTTTCAGTGCTCTTTGTAGGGTTAGTTTGGCAGTCATAAATTCCTTCAGTTGTTCTTTATCATAGAAGTATCTTATTTTTCCATCAATTTTAAAAGATAGTTTTGCAGGGTACATCAGTATGGGTTGGAAGTTGTTCTCTTTCAGGATTTGAAACACAATGTCAAACTTTTCTTGACTTGATGGTTTGTGTTGACAAGTCTGCCAGGATTCTGATTGGTTTTCATTTATAGGTGATGTGTTTCTTTTCTCTAACAGCTTTTAATATTCATTCTTGTGCTGAATTTCTGAGATCTTTATTATATGTCTGAGGGTAGACTTACTTTAGTTATGGTTAGTTGGATTTCTATATGCCTCACTTATCTGTATGCCAGATCCCTTCCCCATATATTGGAAGTTTTCTGCTATTACTTCTGTGTATAATCTTTTAATTTCATTTGTGTTGACCCCTGCTTCTTCACTGATACCTATCACTCTTAGATTATGCTTCTTTGTGTCATCTTGCAGCCATTGAATTGTTATTTCCTGATTCCTTGTTATTTTTAAGATTTTTCTCTTCACAATTGCTAGCTGAAATCCTGTTTTCAAGGTTTAAAAGTCTACCTTTAGTCTCTTTCAAGCAGTTTTGCCAGCTTTTGATTGACTTTTTAATTTCCTGGATATCTCTTTGAATCCGTTTCATTCAGTGTAATTCCTTTCTATATGGTTCATTCAAGGTTTCCATCATTTTCCTATGCTCCTCTTCTTTATCTATGTCTTCTTTAGATATGCTGAGCAATTCTTTCATTATGTCTGTGGTTTCTTCTTTTACCTGAGACATTATTTCTGATTTGATTGCTTTTACGATCTCATGAAGTTTTTTCTTTACTTCAGTTGCTATCCTCACAGAGATTTCAGATGTGTGACTTCCATTGTCTTCCATGACTGTGTCTCCCAGATTATTTTTCTATGTGGGCTGGAGGTCTGACATTGCCTTTTGCTTTGGGACCCCAGACAGTTCCCACTTTGGCTGCCTGTCTGCAGTGTAGGGGAATGAAACAGGCACCTGGGGCCCTCTAGATTTACAGGGAGGTAGCAGGGCTTGGGGCAGTTTCTCCAGACCTGTGCAGCTACACTGGGGCTTCCCCAATGACCAGGTATGTGTAGAGGGGGAGCTGCTGCTCTCAGCCTCCATGTCTACACTGGGACTCCCATGATGGTAGCAGGCACACTGGTGTGTTTGTCTGATTCTCCCAATGGATGATGACTGCCTGAAGGAACCAAGGGCCTCCAGTGTTGGCTTACAGGTGCATAGGGCTTATCTGGCCGCATGTCCTTGCTCCTGCTGGCTGCCCACAGGAAGAAAACCTTCTGGTGGTGATGCTCAGCAAGCAAAGAGAAATCTATCTGGTTCTCTGCCCACACTGGCTTCCTGCAGGAAAGAGCCTTCCAGTGGCAGTACCTGGCAGGCAGAAGTGGATCCTGAAACCTGCATTTGAAGAGCTGATGCAACCCAGGTGTATCAGTTGGACTTAGAAACACTATGTGTGTAGGTAGTTTATAGTTTTTATGAATTTCACTTCAGGGTGGTAAGGGGGCATTACCAAACATTTGTTGCAAAAAAGGCTACATTGG